ATTACCAAGTAGTTTCATGTGAACTCTTAACTATATTTTACCCAATAAAGATAGAGGCAAGACCTCACCTCAACCCATGGGTTGAAATTAAAAAAAAAAAAAAGTATTCTGATTAGTTAAAACTATTATAAAAAATTTTAACTTGTATAAAATTTTCTAATTCTGCTAATATAATTATAAAAAAATTATAATACATATAAATAAATAACTTTATTGTTACTAGTCTATATAATAATCAAGTAATTATTATATAAACTAGTAAAAATAAGCTTGTTAAATTTGTATAGGTTGTTATATAAGACCTGTATAATAAAATTAGTTACTAACTTTAAGCAAAGATATTTTAACTAATCTGTAAAATTAAAATTAAAAAATTTTATCATATTTGATAAGGTAGTTGCTGAGACTATACATATATACCTAAATTATTTTTAAAAAAATATTTTTAGTAAACATTTTAGCATTACTAAATTTTTTATATAAATTCCTCTGAAATAACTATCCTATATAATGTATTTTGATGAAAAGTATTTAAAAAATTTTAACAATAATTTTAGCAAATATGAAAATTAATTTTAACACTATATAAGACTAACTTAGCTACCGTAAATGCTATAATTAATTTTTTTATTAAAATAGATAATTTAAACACACATATATATACTAAGATATTGTTAATATAAAGTTAAAAAATTTTTTTTTTACTATTATCATATGCGAAAGAATTAATACAGCTCTCTTTAATAAATATAAAGTCTTTTTTTTGATAAGAAAAATATTAAAAAAACAATTATACTAAAAATATTTATAATTATACACTGAGTGTTTGGAATACGAGTTTAATTTTTTTTATAAAAAAACAATTTTTTATAAGAAAAAAAAGAAAATTTATTTATTTTAGGGTTAGAGCGAGACCTGGGATTTTATCTAAGCATTAATATATACAAAATTTAATGAGGAATTTTTTTTTATTAGAGCCCAAAAGGTGGATTCTTAGATGAAATTTTGAGATAGTATTTTGTATTTTTTTAAAGAATTATTTGTTACACAAAAAAATTAAATTTTGATTGGCTTTTCGTATTCCTAGTACAAATAGTAACTGTCTTATACTAATGTTCTCTCTTTTTTCAAGCAGTGTATAGATCTCCAAGTGATATAGCCTGCTTTTCTCAAGCAACCTCATATTAAGTTGAATTTGAAACTGATAGTCAATGAATTTCTCAAATATACGCACGAAAAAATCTCTGGCCACTTAAAATTACTCCGGAACCTTGTCTTAAACAATATTTTTGTGCACTGTTTTACGTACTGTACAAGCTAATCGATCATTACTATATAAAGCTTGTGTTACAAACAGAAATTTAATCGAAATTCTATTGGCAATCAATCGTCACATGCCAAAAAAAAACCAACAAAGATAAAAAAGATGTTCTATTATACCTATTTTTGTGTTGCCTAACTGTAATATTCTTTTGGAGGATGCTAAGTTCGGAATAAATATAATGAATGAAAAAAGGAAATGCAAAATGAAATTATTAAATAATTTATTTTACAGTATAATATAACTTCATTGTAAATAAATGAGCATAATTCCTAATTTACAATTACTGCTGGAGTCTGAATACCGTAAAAGACATAAGGTTTCAGCCAGTTCGGATTTTGAATGTGATAATTTCGGCAAAATTAGATTCTGATTTAGATAAATTCCCTCCAGTTTGATATTATTTATGTGAAGAATAATAACTTGTTTAAATAAAGATTCCTCTCTTAATCTTTAGACAAGATTTTTTCCTATCACTCAACTAATCTGTAAACCCGCTTTCAAGCTACTATAAAATATCAGTTATATTGTAAATTGGCTAGTGATGGGAAAAATACGCTAACATGCGCAAGATACCGCATGATATAACTTATCTTTTTTCCGGTTCATTTCAGGAAAAAATCGGTATGTTTCTCGAAATTTGGTTGCGACCTTGAGGTTCAATCATTTCTTTTCGTAATTTTTCGGAACTTTTGAAATCCCTATCCCTTAATTCCACCCAGCATTATGCACTCTGGCCTAAATTACACGGCCTAACCAAAACATATATAAATTCTTGATGGGCAAAAATGCGCATGTTTCAGGTATCATGCGTGTGCATGATACCCATCTCTAACATTGATAAGACATAACTATAATTAGGAAGGAAAACAAAAACACGTGTCATACCGTGTCATACGTACGTAGATTATTACAGTTCTAAATTTAGATATTTAAATAGAAACAAAAAAGGAGATATGAATCACTAGTAATGTAATAAGACAAAATCTTTTGTTTTGATTTCAAACTTAAATATGACGTATGATTAGGAAATTAATACTCCGATGGCAGTTAACATTATCGTTATAAAGGAGTAGAACAATAATGTGTTACGTATGTCCGTAGTACGTTTGCATTCATTCATATTATTTACGGACAGAGCATACCGGAGTTATTTTCATTAACACTTGGCGTCGATCTAAAAAAAAAACCTTTATAAAGGGCAAGAATAATAGCTGATAATTAACAATGGCGGCGATTATCAAAGCTCAAGAAAAAACTAATACTGCGGCGGATTTAAACGCGCCAACTAATGACAATAATATGATAAACGATGAAACTCACAGTCTATGTATGCATTAATTAAATATAATATAAAATATAATTTATCTAAATTATAAAATTATCTCATTATATTAGTATTAGAATATTCGGACCCGCTAGAACAGTTAGAAAAGTATTTGGAAAAATATAAAGTACCGGTAGATAAATATGACCACCTACAGTTTGATATTAAAGGCATACCTATCGGAAAAGGAGGATCTGCTGTAGTTTATAGGGCTATTTATGAGGGAAAGACTTATGCATTAAAAAGTCTAAATACTAACCTATTAGTGGATAATAAATCATTAAAAAAAATAAGCCGCGAGGTGATTACTTTTAATTATTCGACATTAGTTTCTAGAGTTTAAAACTAACTATCCTGCACTATAATTATATCACAAAGCTTTCACTTCTTTATAATATTGATAATCCTAACATTATTAAATTCCATGGAATTATAAGAGGTACAATAAAAGCAAAATATCTTAATTATTAAATTAATATTTATCTGACAAAGTTTAATGCTTTTAGATCCACAAAAAGGCATTGCGCTAGTTTTACAATTTGCTAAGGATGGTAACCTACGAGATTATTTAACAAAAAAACAACACGATGGCCTTTATAAAATTTTATGGAGCGAACTTATCCAAATTGCGAAAGAAATCGCCTCCGGATTGTCATATTTGCATTCCAGAGATATAATCCATCGAGATCTCGTAAGGTCTAATTTTTCTAAATCATAAATCTCTGTGCTATGTATTTAATTTCTAACCTTTACGATAAAATTTCCTAGCATTCTAAAAATATACTGATACATAATAAAAAGGTCTTAATTGCGGACTTTGGTGTTTCAAAAAATCTTAATGAATCTATTAGTCATTCAATTCTGACATGTATACCAGCATATACTGAGCCAAAATATCTTCTAGAAGAAAAACAATCGGTTATTCTCAATAAACGATCAGATATTTATAGCCTGGGAGTATTACTTTGGGAACTCACAAGCGGAATTCCTCCGTTTAATAAACTTCAAATTACGGCCATATTACTGAATTTGCAAAATAATCAACGAGAAAAAATCATTGCTAATACACCTTTAGGTTACTCAACCCTATATTGTCAGTGTTGGTCTTCCAATGAAGGCCAACGTCCAACCATAGATAAAATTATGAAAGTTCTTGAAGAGTTACCAACAAAAATAACTACAGAATATATTACAAATAAGATTGAAATTAAACAGTCCGAGGCGAATAATCTTTCAGATGATGGTAGCTCTTTGTCTGGCGACTTTGAAAATAGCCGTGATTACTCATTTTATAAATAACTGCTAATGTTTATGTTTACCTGCTAATTTTTATTAATATAAACGTCTGAATTATTAATTTCTTTAGTTGTTTCACAGACAGCTCATTTCACAGACAATCTTATTTCCCCCAATCCTAACCCTAAAAATGATCAAGACACACAAATTACTATTAGAATTAATGACGACACAAGTAAAGACTTAGTTATTTCAACTCCCACAGCACTTATAAAACCTTCAAATAAAAATGAAAGCAAAATGATCAATAAGTGAGTATACTAATTATATTAATTTCCAATGAGTAAAATTATAATTTATCATTTACACAGCATATATAAAATCTTTAAAATTGTGTTTACATTTATAACTAAATAATGTTAATTCACAAAGTAAAATAGACCCTCTTGAAAATATTATCAAAGAATTTGACCTAGATATTTATGACTATGATGAATTCACAAATTTTTCAGAAAATAATAAAAATCAAAATAATCAAATAGAATATGTAGAATGGAAGAATCGTGGTCTGAAATTTGCTCTAAAGAGTTTAAAAATTGAAGGCGAAAGCGAAAGCGCTATTAGAAATATCGCCAGAGAGGTATTTAATAATCGTAATATAACATACCACATTAATATTATTTCTAAATTTTGTATATTAATATATTACACAGGTTCGATTATTACGCAATATTACAAAACATTATCATCCTAATATTAATCAGTTCAGTGGAATTGCAAAAGATCGTAACACTAATCGTTACTTTTTAATTTTACAATATGCAAATAATGGAAATTTAAGAGATTATTTAACAAAAAAGTTTGAAACACTTACTTGGGGTGATAAAGTACGCATAGCAACTGAAATTGCTCAGGGCCTTATACATTTACATGAACATAAAGAAAAAATTATTCATAGAAATCTTGTAAGAGTATACAATTAACATCTATTAACATTTTCATAAAAATTTATAATATTAAACTAATTCTAACCTCTTTTTACAGCATTCCAAGAATATTTTAGTTAATGATGGTATAATTATGTTGGCCGATTTTGGTATATCTAAACAAACAAATAATTTAATGTTAAGTACTACAACAGTTACTGCGGCACATGATGAGCCCGCCTATATTGATCCAAAATACCATGTTAACCATAAGTATGTACGTGATGAGAAATCGGATATTTTCAGTTTTGGTGTTCTTTTATGGGAAATCTCAAGCGGTCGTCCACCTTTCCATTCTATAAAGGGAAGAGATCAAATAATGTTTAAAATTTTCAAAGGAGCAAGAGAAGATCCAATAGGAGGCACACCAGAACAATACACTAAATTGTACACACGTTGTTGGGACGAGGAACCTTATAATCGACCGGATATCCAAGAAGTATTCAAAATTCTTAAGGAAATGCTTATTATATATAAGCCAGCCCAGCTACATAATGATTCTCCTTTACAAAATGTTGACAAACCTAAAGACGAACATGAAAAATATCTAATAAAGCAAGAACATTTTGACCTTATTTTTAAATGGATTAAAGAATCTAGAAAAGGTATTAGAAGGTATCTAAATCGATCTAGAAATTCTTACGATTTTAAGCTACTTATTAGGGGTAGTCGAGATGGATTTACTCCGGCTAGTTTTCATAAGAAATGTGATAATCAAGGTCCTACTTTAATTGTTTTAAAAATTAAAGGAGAGGATGGAATTTTAGGTGGATATAATCCACTTAATTGGGAATCACCGAGAGAAGAAAAATATTGCGCCGCGAATCAAAGTTTTATTTTCAATTTAAATCTTAATAATTTAGAAAAATCGATACTTAGTAGGGCAAGGAGTAATAAATCAATTAAATTATCAGAAAACTATGGTCCATGTTTTCGTGATGATTTGTCTCTGGCTAAAAATTTTAAAGAAGATTGCGAGTGTAAATGTTCTAAGCAGCATTATGAAAGACTTATTAGGGAATCTGATGCCAATTTTTCGGTAGAAGAATATGAAGTTTTTCAAATAATAAAAAGATCATGAAAAAAGAATAAAAAATCAACAGGACACTATACTGTTAAGGAGTAAATCCATGGAACTATGCCTGAATATCGATCGATAAGATACAATACTGATATAATCATCTCTAGAATCATCGTACCGAATGTGTGGAAAAGTTTATTTTCTTTTTAGTTTTGGCTTTTACATACCAACACAGACGCAATCAATGTTGTACGTAGACAGCCTTTAGACAAGATTTTGGACATTTAGATAAAATATATAGTGAATTTATTCAAAATTTTATTAAGATGATCTATTTAAAACTTTAAGCAAAAATGTTTAGGATTATTTAAATGAAGAATATAATAATATAATTTTATTACGATTAAATATTTAAGGCTATGTACAGCTTGGACATGACCAAAAAAGCTTTTAGATATGCCCAAAATGCACAATTATTAGGTGCAATCGTGTGATGATTGGTATTGTCACGATTCCTCGTGACGTATAAGTGAGGCTGGACAATCACAATTTTATTTTTTTTATTACCGTTACTATTTTGATTCTTTATTTGTTATTTGTTATTTTTTTGTATAGTTAAATTGTTCTTTATCGATATGTGAGGTATATCTGATAAACCTATATCTGATATTAGGATAGAAACAGGTTGTTTAGAATGTCGGATGTGAATGTCGGTTTCAATTACTACGCACTGTCACATTGGAAAGTTGGGTTCCGAATGTTCTGTCTGGACTGCAAACGTAGCCACAGCTCAACTTTATGGCTAAGTAGATCTCTACCTATTATAGAGATCCCGGTCTTATAGGAGCGATCGGTCTTATATCTCTTATAAAAGCGGTAAAGGCCTTAAGGAGATATAAGGGATGATCAGACCGAAACGGAGTAATGTGGTATTTGTTGATGATAAGGCCTGATGGGAAGGATATTTGTCGTTAGGACGTTTAGTAGTAATTAGTTATTATTATTCATATCTTGTATTATAGGACCGTTAGGGGATGATAAGTTATTTAGAAAAAGACTTATCGTCCGACCTATTGTTCCAATAACTATATAAGCAAGCATTTTTGCCCTTCAATAAAAGATATCAATTTTACAATACAAATAATAAATCACATTGCCGATAAACTTATCTGTACATAATATAAAGTTCTAAACCTTCTTTTTATCCATAACTTCACTAATCGTATAAACTTGTACTTGTGTATAACATTACACTGCTAAGTTATTACTCGTTAATAAGAGTAAACCTGAATTGTTCATGTTGAGTAATGAGAAAACTTGCTGAGAATTGATTGTTAATTATTCTAAAAGTGAGGATAAGTCAGAGTTAGAATATTAAGAAAGTTAAGTAACTCGATAAGAGTAGTGATGTGCTACATACAGTACTATATGTACTATATATTGTCGTCCGGGAAAACAGCGAGTCTGTCACTCAATCTTATGGATCTTCATATGATGTTATCAAGATAACCTATTGAAAGATGGCGTAGTGATTAGGTGAAGGGATTCTCAAGGCTTCGGTTATTGTTTGGACTCTGGTCACGTGGTAGGTCTTTAAGGTTATTGATTCTCTTTACTTCCCACAATCTATTCAAGTTGACCTATCCTCTCTCTTAGGATGGTCAAACACAAGATTCAGAGAGCAAGTTCTCTTTAATCATATGACTTAACGACACTTTACTCTATTACAAAGAGTAATTGGGCAGCGTGACGTTATTACGGGATTAGTTTATTAACTTAGCGATAATCGGGTTGGGAATTATTTAGCGAATTTATTGTATCAAAGGAAAGTTTTGGATGATTTATTTAAGGGCAGAATATTTTATCAAGTGAATGATATTTTTATTGAAGGGCAAAAGTGCCCGTTTATATACTTTCTTGAACAATAGGTTTGCCGATAAGTCTTTTAATGCTT